CGTAAACAACGCATTCTTGTCCATTCCCGAAAAATGTTCACAACACTTCCGATTAGCATGTACCCTGTATAAAAATCAACATCCATACATTTTTTTATATGCTCAAGAATTTCTAAACTTTTTTGTCCTTTTATTAACGGTATTAAGCGGAGCCCACGTATTTTACACATACATTCTCCCAGGAATTATCCCTAGCTAATTGGAATAATCTAAATTCCTCGTTCCATCCTGACAAAGATTCATCAAGCCGTACACGCTCTCACATTAATCCATAGCGAGATATTTAATAAAAAGCCCTACAAATGCTCATGTATTTTTAGACAATTTTTTTTAGCTAAAAGCTCGGGTCAACTGGGGTATAATTGGGGAAGGCGAGAATGAAAAAAAGTAACAGAAAAACTCTCTTCTTGGATTACGTTTATGTTTTTGACGTCGATTTTCATGGTAATAAGGAAAATGTTTTAGAATAAATCCCTGTGTAATCGGAGATGGAAAGCAGTTATGAATAACAAGATTTTAATGAGAAATGTTTACAGAGCTAAACCAATTAGAGCGGTATAAAAACGTTGACTGATTTGATCCAAATTATGTATTAAATTTTATTTATTCAACGTATAAAGTATATTTGGTTAGAACACAAATGTTACAAAAAATGTTAGTAACGGAGTAGAAAAGCAAAGATGAAATAAACTATGAAAAAAGGCAATCAATTTTTGGAACTCAGGATATCAAACATCCTTTTCTTGTTTCTTACCGATATTAGGCATTTGTTGTCTGTTCCATTGTCAAACCCATCAAACTTCTTCTTTTGGTTTGTAATTACCAAGCGTTTACATGAATATAATAGAGTATGTATGGCCATTGTCTTATAAAGTTTTATCATTGTTTCTTTTATTCTGCTGTTTCTCCAATCTTCTAGAAATTGCTTCGCATATGTACCAAAAATGCTTTGATATGTATCGATCTTCATCCTCACACATTTCACGTATATTTATGACTATTTTTATGTCTAAAGAACGTGTTTGTGATTTTCAATTTATTCTCAGCAACGAATTGTCCCCTCTTTCTATAATTCTAGAAAGTAGGTCACTTTCTTCCCTTTTTTCACCTATTCTTGTAACAAATTTTATTCTCGTTGTTACTATTCTTTTATTTATGTCTAAGTACCTAGTATTTTAAGTGTCCACTGCTTTTATTTTAATATAGTAACAATGAAGCTTTTTATCTTGTTATTTATTTCGTGTTCTTTTGAATTTACTTAATCCACTACACTTGTAACAGCTGATCATTATTCGATCTGGTCTTCCTTTGACTTGTAGGATTTGACGTAATTTTGGTCCATATCCAAGGTCTCTCCAATTATTTATTATAGGAGTTAAAAAATTAAGAGCAATATAGTCATTCTTGCAAACACTAAAAAGAAAGAGATGGAAATACCATTAATATAAGGGGTATTCATAATGGTGTGTAAGGATTTAGCGAAACAATAATTTTCATCATGGAATAATCAAAGTCAAAAGAAGTCAAAGCCTCCTAAAAGTTAACATGTACATCGTTGACCAAAAAATAACTATTAGGAGATAGGAGATTATGAAGTGAGCAATGCCGCCATCATTGTCATAGATAATCTATGACAGCTCTGGGATGTTAACTGAATCGAACTCATTGATCGAATTTCGTAAAAATAATTATACCGTCGGAATGGTCACGTTTTGATCACGAAAGGTCACTTGGTTTCACAGTTTGGGTAGTTCCAGTTAATTTTTTATGAAGGCCTGACAATTTTCAAGAACAAAAAAGATGTTGGCACCTTACTGACAGAAATCTATAAAACAAATGATTGTATTCGATAGAGATAAAAATGCTGATAATTGGTCAGATATATGAAACATTTGGTCAGTTTGTTTTTGTCGTGAAAAAACATACTTAATAAAGTTGCAATAACCTTAGCACGCACGCGCAGTCCATTAAACAATACCAGGATTGCAGTTCCTTATGGCCATAAAAATTTTTAAAATGCCGGGAAAACAATAGGTTCCCGGGATTTTCTAAATCATTATGTTACAGCTAGTATTTTCTACACCTACATATTACCTCAAAGTTCAAAAATTGATCTCCAATGGTCAAACATTTCCAGAAATTGGTCAGTTCTAGGTTATTTTTTATTAAGTATTGAAACATTTTCAAGGACAGTGTTATATTATATATTTGAAATTTGAACCAGAAGATTTTAAAAACTGTTTTCCGGATGGACGAGAAAACATACATTAAATTATTTGAAATGGTTACTCCTATGATAAAAAAGAAAGACACAGTTATGAGAAATAGTATTTCTGCACATGAAAAATTATCAGTTACGTTGAGATTTCTCGCAACTGGAAGAAGTTATGAGGATTTAAAATTCTCAGCAATTATTTCATCTCAAGCGCTTTTTTTATCTCGATTATGGTAACTTTGTTTTTGATTTCCCAAAGACATGGATGAATTCTATAAATTCTTTAAGCATTTTTTTTAGTTAAAACTGGTGGCACCATTTTCTAGGGTTAATTAAATAGTGGTGTGACAATATGGTGCGAACAACAAGACGACTTTCCCAAGAAACACTAGAAACTAAAAAACAATTGACGTGACTTGCGCAGGCGGCCGGAGTACACTCACAGACGCACAGGTATATCGTACGGTGTCACTCGAAAAAATTGATTTTTGATTTTGCTCCGGTCGCCTGTGCAGGTTTAAAAAACTGAAAACTGCACACGTCTATTCCCACATATGTTCTGGTCTACCTGCCTAGGCATGCCTGCACAGGTGCCTGCGCAGGTAGACCTCTTCGGTAGACCGTAGTGTGTATGGCGTACATTAGCTTCTAAGACAGGCCATTCACGTTTCCGACTTTTAGTCCGACTAGTGGTCCAACTTTTGCAGTTTGGATCTGAAATCGGACCGTGAGTGGTCCAGTTGGATTAGTTGGACAACTAGTGGTACGAGTCAGAACATCTAGTGGGACGACTTGAAGGCCCGACTTGCGACTGGCGACGAAGTCGGAGCGTGAGTGGTGAGTTGGAAGTCGGATTACAGGTCGGATCGAAAATATTCCTCAGAGAATTGACCTTCGGAACCTGTATACCTACGTATGAGATTTCTATGAAATACTTTACGGCAAAGATGTCTAGTTTGCAAATATTTAATAGAAAATAAACTTTCAATTGCACGAAAATTAGTTTTTCGTTAGGGCAAGTCATTTTCTTTTCTGTAGATATATTTCGGACATTCCCGTACAGGTACAATTTCCAACACTCCGGATTGGCTACGGTAGAATTATCAACAAACAACGAAAATTAAATCATAGGTATACTGAAATTAGACGTAACTGTTTTCCTTATATTTTTCTGAAATTATTTTCTTGTGGCAACTTATGCAAATTTACTATTTTAATTAGAAATAAGTGTGAATATTAGTAAGAAATTAAATTTATTTGATGTTGAACTGAAGTAGGACCGCTAGTTGGATAGCAAGTCGGAGCGTGATGGCAAATACTTATAGTCCTACAATGGCCGCAAGTCGGAACGTGAATGGCCTGCATAATCCAAACTTAATTTTTTTTAATGGTAAATCAAGCCATATAGTGTTGCGCGATTTTGAATAAGTGATGAATTAAAAGTTTTCAGACAGAAACATTCTTTAGATTCTAAACACAGGAAGCAGTTATAGGAAAATTTCTTGGTATCTAGACAATGTAACAGTTGTTAGTGATAATAAGAATTGTAATATATTTCTTAATTTTGGATATTGGGATGCAATATATACTAATGTATTCCAATGGATTAACTTAGAATCATAGATTTGGCAAATACGCGTCGTTTGGTTGCCACGCGGTTCAACCCGGAGGAACTGTTGACTTTAATATTAATTCTTGTAATAGTCATTAATCTTAGATCTAGGTTTAATTGTACTAACCACGAAAATCTTTCGGAACATAAGATTATCGTCCAAGTTATTTTCTGCTTAGGGATGAACATTCTTAAATGTTTTCTTCTTCTTTAAGTGCGTCTCCCAATGGAGTGTCCTGGCTATCTTTACTCTATTTACCGCTGTTTTTGGATAGTTCTATTGAACTGCATATTAACCAGTCCCTTAAATTTTTCACAACATACACCCCAAAATAATGTAAAACAACTACAAAATGATTTAAAATATAAGTTTAAAGACAAATAGTTGACTTACAAAGAAAAATTGGTACCCAAGTTTATCCGTCATCCTAATACTGTTTATTCATTAAAGCAGTCATAAATAGAACTAGTAAAAGTTTAAAACCTCCAACATTCGATAGTCAAATAGCATGGAAAACGTCGTTTTTATTTCGAAGCTGTAGTTAGAGCCAATGGCTGGACTGAGAAATAAATGGCAGCTTCCTTGGTAGTGTCACCTCGAGAACAGACATCAATCGTTTCGTAATTTCTTCTCCAGCATGCACCCAGCTATTCCTCTCTTATTAGCCAGCTGCATCTTAAGCAGGTTTTCCAACGTAAGCTAAAAAATCGATATTAAAACATAAGGAAAGTCTGCAAGAATTTGAAGCCAATATTAAAAGATTATTGCATTCGGCGTACTCTCAGGTACCTAAACATTTTCTGGAACAAATTAATATTCACATATTTATAGATGGACTACAATATTTCAATATTAAAAAAAAATGATTATTTTCAGACAGATCAGCGAAATTTTTACAGCTTATTATTCTTATTTAACCAACTATTTCTCTTACACTGAAATTGCCTAAGTCTAGACTCACTAATAAGTCTAGTTACCCACTAGAGTTTTAATGCAAAATTTATTTAAATGTCTAATCCATGAAGCATCTGATCCAGCATTACTCCGAGAGACTTATTATTCCAAGCATCAATTACTTTATTCCTTCTAAAATCTAAAACTTAAATTATTAAAAGTACGTTATTGCTCATATGATACTATTCCTGTTAATTTATTACGGTTTTCTGTTTTAGGCAACATCGTTACCTTAAAAGCTAACATTAACATGTGCGGTATGAGTATTGAATGGAATCATTTGACGAGAAGACAAAGAAAAGGTCTAAGGTTATTGTATAGGCACGGGTGCACTTGCAAAATACGAAAATGTTCACTTGGAAAACGCTGTTACAGACAACGAGATAGTTGCATCTGGAGGAATTCCTGCGAAACAAAAGAAGTAAGTACCCATTTGTATGTTTGATAGTTTATCTTCATTGTATGTTTTTTCTCAATTTTATTATTAACAAATTTAGGAAAAAGAATGGTTAAAACAGTAAACAATGAATAAAGAATATATATTTTTCTTTTATATCAGCGGTAGCTGCTCGTTAAAAGTCTGAACTATTCTTCAACATTTGGAATTTTTTACCAGCCGCGATTAAATACGTATTAAATAAGTATACAAAAAAGTTTTTAAATCAAATTCCACCACAATATATTTATTGAAAACATAAATAAAGTACACAATATGTGTATTACATTTAAATACTTAATAAAAATTAAAACAAATTTATTTTACTTCTTTTGATACTTCTTTCAAATTTTGTTTCAATACAATTGGTGACAGCACTTCACAGTAATTCTTTCAGATGCTGGTTAGTTAAGTAAGGTTGATCGGTGTTTGTGTTTTACGAGTTTTAAAGTGAAATAAAATGATTTACATTGAAGTTTTTTTCGAATTGGATATAATTCGACAAGCGGATTTTTTATTTAAAATAATTTGAACCTGGTACAAATTTCCAAAATTCAGTAATCGGCGCGGTAAATCGGATCTATTTTAATTGTAGAGCTTAATCTTATTGCGTCCTCTATTAACTCATTCTAAATACATATGGGAATCTAGATGTCTTCTAATGAAAGGAAGGTGAACCAGATTGATCATGTATTGGTGGAAAGAAACCACAAGAAATTTATAAGAAATATAAGAAATATGAGAGGAGCCGAAATGGATTCCGACTATATTGTGATTAGAGCTATATGTGGAATGGTACAAAATGATAAAGAAATGAGAAAAACAAATTCAAAGAGGATAAACCGATATGATTTATCGATGAAAAAGAAATTATATCAATGAAATAAATAAAGGACTATTATCCCAGAAACAAAAAGACTAACTATGAATAGAGCGAGTGTACAAGAGAGGCTATCACTATAGCAAATAATTAAATTATTCCACAAAAGAGCAAAATGAAAGCAGAGAGATAGATGAGAGAGATAAATTAGTTTGATAAAGAATGCCTTAAAAGAGCAGTAAAACAAATAATAATGAAGGTATGAACCAGAGTTACAAAGACCAAGAAGAATAATAAAAGAGGATACCAGAATCACAATTCATACATAAAAAAAGAAGATGGAACACTTACCAGTAAAAAATAAGGGGTAATGAGTATATGGAGGAGGCATTTTAGTGAACTACTAAATGAAGTAAATGCAGATGAAAATAAAAAATTTCCTTATACAAGATGATGAAATATTAATAGAACTACCTAGTGAAGAAGAGATAAAAATATAATTAATGAACTTAAAAATAACAAAAGACCCGGAGAAAACAAAATCGCTGCGGAAATACTAAAGAATAGAGGGAAAGAATTGCAAAAAATGATAGTCTTATCAAGGGGATATGGGAAGAGGAAAATATCCTCAAAAATTGGACCAACGCTTTATTATGTTTCCATATACAAAAAAAAGAGGATAGATTGGTAATGGGAAAATTACAGAGGTGTTGCTCTATTGGATACTTGTGACAATAATGCTAAGAGAGAGACTCAACCAAATTTTACTGTTGATAAACTAGATGAGTATCACGCTGGTTTTAGAGTTAATAGATCAGTGACAGGTCAGATTTTTACACCAAAAGAAGTCCAGACTACCTGCTATGAATATGAACATAATTTGTTCACACTTACGAGTAAAAAAATAAGGGATAATGAGTATATGGAGGCATTTTAGTGAACTACTAGATGGAGTAAATGCAGATGAAAATAAAAAATTTTCCTTATACAAGATGATGAAATATTAATAGAACTACCTAGTGAAGAAGAGATTAAAAATATAATTAATGAACTCAAAAATAACAACAGACCCGGAGAAAACAAAATCGCTGCGGAAATACTAAAGAATGGAGGGAAAGAATTGCAAAAAATGATATATAGTCTTATCAAGGGATATGGGAAGAGGAAAATATCCTCAAAAATTGGACCAACGCTTTATTATGTTCCATATACAAAAAGGAGGATAGATTGGTATGGGAAAATTACAGAGGTGTTGCTCTATTGGATACTTGTGACAATAATGCTAAGAGAGAGACTCAACAGATTTGCTGTTGATAAACTAGATGAGTATCACGCTGGTTTTAGAGTTAATAGATCAGTGACAGGTCAGATTTTTACACCAAAAGAAGTCCAGACTACCTGCTATGAATATGAACATAATTTGTTTATAAATTGTAAATAAGTAAATTGTAAAAAAGTCGAAAATCTTTTCACTTTCAAAACTGCTTATTATAAACAGAACAAAATCTAAAACTATTTTACAGATTTCTCCTTCATTATTAAGTATTTTTCTTAATCTTATGCAAACGAACCGACCTAATTTAATTTCAGCTTTTCCATTACATAAAACAAATCCGCTTTCTGTGTATTTCTATACCCGGATTAGCCGAAGCGTGTAACTGGCGAACGTAACCCCGTTAGAAGTTTTATCCTGAGTTTCCTAATTTTGTAATCATCGGAAAAGTGCAGCGTATAAAGGAAGCCCCCGCAGCCAACTTTGCATAAGCAGGTTGGTGGTTTTAATCTGATGCTAAAAACATTAAAATGAGCAGAAGGAGCGGATTATTAAAGTGGATAGAATCTGATTTTGTAAAAATGCATTAAAATTAGTTTCTACAGCAGAAAAGGGAGAAACTATGGGATGATCTACACAAACGTGACTGTTTGAAAGTAACACTTGTATTATATGGCGATTAAACAAAAATAAAAGGAATCTTTAATTTTTAGTTTAGATTCATATTGTAATCATTTAAAGGTTTGTTATTAGGAATATTAACAAATCTGACCAGACACCACCAACCTATGAAAAATATTTTTAAAAATTCATTTTTTTTCTCTTTTGCGTTGCTTATATATCGGTAGGAAAAAATTGTGAAAATAAAAAAGTTTTGCAATTAAATTTCCTATAAGACAAAATAATTGCAAGTTGAAAAAAAAAAAATATTTATTATTGCAAAATTAATAGAAACCATTTGAAAAAGTGTCAAAATCAATGTTTCTTTAATAATCTTTCTAAAGTATTTCAAAATGTGGTAAAGTCACATAGAGTTTTCAAAATTGACCCAGAAAATCTTTTTATTATAAAAAATATTTTTGGGCACAGTCAGTAAAGCAGTTTTTGTCAAAATATTTGACAATCTAAATTTAAAAAAAAGTTATTTATTTTTGAAAGTTTTATAGAGCCAACAAAAAGAGTTTTAAGTACTTGAAAACATACATATACTTCGACCGTTACTTGATGGAAATTCATTTTATGTAACAATAAAACACTGAAAACTTTGTTTTCAAACTTCCACAAAATTTATTTTAACTCTTATCACTACAGCTGTTTCGGCTGATTGCCTTTCTCAAGTGATCTATTTTTGGCTTGCGTTTACACTTTATAGTCTCTAATGAAATAGGTTGAGAGATGGGAGAACTGTTTGTCTCAAGTTGGTCATTCAGAATTATATCTGTGTTTTTTAATTTGTTGATTTCCATAGATTCTAACAATGATAGCTTAAGGCCTTTATTTTGAATGTGAACAATTTTAAATTTGTCATTAAAAGAATGATTATGATCTAGAAGGTGAAGTGCGTATGTCGAATCTGTTTTTCTATTATTGAAAGCCCTTTTATGTTCTGCTATTCGTTTATTAAAGTTTCTACCAGTTTGACCGATGTAAGTTTTTGGGCAGTCGCCACATTTAAGTTTGTACACACCACTATGTAAGTGTTTTTTATTTTGGCTCTTGTTATTTTTGATATATTTGCCTAGATTGTTCTTTGTTCGGAAAGCTGGTGTTATTCCTTTCTTTTTTATGTGTTTGGCTATTTTTGTTGTTATTTTGCCTGTATATGTAATTGAGCAGAAGGTACTGGGTTTTTTTCTCTGGTGGTGGAATATAATTCAGGGCTTTCTTGTGTAGTTTTTGATTTAACATTTTATTAATTGTTTGTTCGTTGTATCCGTTGTTTACTGCTATTTGCTTAATTGAATTTAATTCTGTCTCAAAGTTGTATTTTGACATCGGAATTTCTGTTAATCTATGTAACATACTATGATATGCTGCGAGTTTATGTTGTGTTGGATGGGATGATGAATTGTGTATATTCGTGTCAGTATGGGTAGGCTTATGAAATATGGAGAGGTCATGTTTGTTTTTAACTCTAAAAATAATTTTTAAATCTAAAAAATTTATGGATTGATTTTGTTCTGTTTTTATTGTAAATTCAATATGACTATGAAGTGAATTAATATACGATAAAAATTGGTCGACTTGCCTGTTAGTTCCTGTGAAACAATGACCAGTACGTCGTCTACGTATCTCCACCAATATAAAAACTGTTTGAATACGGATGTTTTGAAATCTTTGTCTCTAGATGATCCATAAAAATATCTGATAGCAATGGGCTTAGAGGATTGCCCATTATAAGTCTTGCACTGTTATTTGTATATATTTGATTATTACAATTCAAAGTAGTTCTGGTTTATGCAAACTTCAAGAAGATGTAAAATTTCAGATGTAATTATTGGATTTGTACTATTTTGTTCTAAAAGGTTTTTTTACTAAAATAAAAGTTTCTGTAGGAGGGATACTAGGAAAAAGATTTTTTACGTCAAATGAAATTAATCTGGAGTTGTTAGGTAATTAAAAATGTTGTATTTTATTAACTAGTTCTATTGTACTTTTTATGGTAAATTTAGGTGAACATTTAGTGTGTTCTAAAATAATCTCTAACAGTTTTTTTGAAAGTTTATATGACGGAGCTGTATAAAAAGAAACTACAGGTCTTATTGGGTGATCCGGTTTGTGTAGTTTAATGAAAGAGTATAATTTAGGAGGCTGTGGGTTCATATTACTATTACTATAGATAAAATAGAATATAATAAAAAAACAATAGAATTCTTAAATAATCAAAATATT